CTACTAGTGTATCATATGTAAATATTCCATGTATTAAACACACATTAAGCTACTAGTGTATCATATGTAAATATTCCATGTATTAAACACACATTAAGCTACTAGTGTATCATATGTAAATATTCCATGTATTAAACACACATTAAGCTACTAGTGTATCATATGTAAATATCCCATGTATTAAACACACATTAAGTTACTAGTGTATCATATGTAAATATTCCATGTATTAAACACACATTAAGCTACTAGTGTATCATATGTAAAATGATACATTTTCTAATATAGGTAACTGCTGAAGTTACTGAAATGAATTGTAGCCTCAATCTGTGGATAAGAGGTAAATAAAAAAAATATTAGAGAGATTGTCAATGTGTGTTTTTTTTTTTATATGTGTTTCATCCTGTAACAAATTATTCATTATTTTCCAAATACTTGACGTGTATCTTCGTACATGAAACGTAAGGATTCTTTCACATCAATGAGTTTCTGAATGAATAACAGTCCTCTGAATTTTAACCTAAATGAATTGTCAGTATGGCACATAATACTACTATCTATATTCTAACAGATATACAGGGAAATACTCATGTTGTAAATGTGTTTCGAGAACACAAGTGTGATTATTATTTTCAAGTTCTATTGATATCTAAAGGTTATCATTTTTAACATAATACAAGAGTTTTGAGTATAAGAGAAAATGACTTAAACATCTTCTAAAATGTCAGTAATTGTAAAGAAATAATTCATAACTAACTAGAGGGAAGTATGGTTAATAGTACAATGAAGAAAATTCTTCTCCAAGATCTAACACTCTTAAATAAAAATAAGATATTTGAACATAAATTACCAACAAGAAAATGAATTTAGTCTTGTGTGATATGTCAACCATCCTAAATCTATGTCAGTCTAGAGTTTTAAACTTTCTCAAGTATAGGGTTTGTTATGTAGGTATACTAGAAATTCAATAAATGTGCAAGCCAGTTGTTGAAATGGTTTAGTATTCAGTACACCGAGTTATTTTATCAAGTTCTATAATAAAACAAATCTATAAGCATACAAGATTACACTGGGAGTAAAATTTGTTCCTTTTATTTTTTATTCATGTGTAACTTCAATATTTATTTCTTAGATCTGCTCGTTTTATACGTACATTACAATTCTTGAATTCTAACTGATGACTTAAACATAACATTTCCATTGTCTTCTCCATTACTTTAGCCCCTTCATTGCAGTCTTTTACGACCTTAAACAGAAAATGAATAATTAATTAAAAATTACAGGGAATAATTAAATTTCTTATGCATAACTAGTCATTAATATTTTAAATCTAATAGAAACATAAACAAAGAATTGTATAACATTTAACTCTGCATTAGTCTCAGGGGCATTTTTAAGACTTCAAAGTACTCGGTGCAATTTTCGTAAGGGGGGGGAATTAGTATTGATCAACTATAAAATTTATAATTTATTTTCATATTAAGATACAATAAATACATAGTTTTTCCTATATACAATATAAATGTAAATATAAATATATAAAAAAAAATCAGTTTTGAGGAAACACCTTACAATATGTTATTTGTTATATTCCTAGATGGCCGTCAGTGCATTGCATCAATTGCACCGACATTAAAAATGCCCCTGGTTAATCTTATATAAAAACATTTCTATGGTCAATCTTCCGAGGTCCAAGTAGACCCCATCATAAACATTTAAGTTAAAGATATTTAAATAATAATATTACAACTTGTTTCTTTGTTACAGCCTAAACTAAGTGTAACAATTTAACACAAACTACCCGAATACTGAAGCGACTGAGAACAACAAACATGCACGTCTTGCCATCCGTCAGGGCTGATATTTACAAAATATTTGAGGTGCATAAAACTGTTCTTCTATAAACTAAGTGATAAATACAACTAATTATTATTAAAGAACAATTGTGGCAAAATGGATAAAACTGTTCTTCTATAAACTAAGTGACAAATACAACTAATTATTATTATTAAATAACAACTGTGGCAAAATGGATAAAACTGTTCTACTATAAACTAAGTGATAAATACAACTAATTATTATTAAAGAACAACTGTGGCAAGGTGCATAAAACTGTTCTGCTATAAACTAAGTGATAAATACAACTAATTATTATTAAAATGTTAATGTCTTCAGCACAATGTTCAGTTCATAAATATTTACTATGATGTGAGTAAGGTCGTACTCAAATAAGAAACTATAAACTTATTTAAAGTTATATCTCTATCATAAAGAATGGTCTGATGAATTTAGAATTATACAAACCTTATTCATAGCTTTTAGGGCCAATTTGGAGACTTTGAAGCCTGGAGAGTCTGTTGGAAGTCTGTCACATACTGCTTTAACTAATAACGGGAAACGAGTAATTCGCTGCATTGGCAAAATAAGGAATGAATTCATGTTGAGGTTCTGGCAAACTGGATTTGACTCAAGCGTTTGTAACAACATTTCAAATTCTGGCTTATTTTGCCTTTAAATGAAACACAGACAGTTTAGGTTAAAGAACCAGGAAACATAAACATTTGACATTACACATCTAAGAGACCTTTCTATTCTATATGGTGATAATTTAGTCATCACAGTTAATGAACAAGATATGTTGTAAGAAACAACCATTTCAACTTTGATTGTAAAGGTTCACAAGTCCGGCAGGTTAAAGGCGAGTTTGCTTTCGACATTTTGCATAAAAACTATAATATGGTTTCTTACTTAAGAACAGTAACTCTTTCTTTACAGTATATGTAGCAACCAGAATTTTTGGTGTCAATATTTTTCCATGATCTTTAATATATACAGTTGTGAAAAAAATCTACAGTTGTTTTTGTTATGCTCAAAGGTCATGGTAAATACAGTGTCAAAATTCAACCTAATATAGATATATGTATTTAAACTAAGAATAGAAAACAGGAATAACTGGAAACATTTTACACACATCTTAGAAACCCACATTTTAATGAGGATGTTTATTTATAATACAATACATATAATACAAATGTGTAGGAAACAACAGCCTATAACTATTTCCAATATGTACAGAGATGCAGTACCATCTTAATATAGCTCCTCATAAGTTATACAGGTAAGCCTCAATTCCAAAGCCAAATGTTTAAAGTATACAAGTTTTGGGTAATTTCTTGTACTTTTAGCTTACAATGCATTCTAATGTTTATAAGTAGAAACATATAATTAATTAGCTATACTGATTGTCACACTGATTTTTAGTTTGGCTCCAAGTACACAGCATTACTCTGATCTGAAATTAATATACACAAAGAGGTTGAAGCATAGTTTAAAGTAACAAAAAAAAACAGTGGGATAAACGAAATTATAATTAAGATACTGGTAAAGATATGCCAAACACAATCTTGTGAAGTTATCCAGGTTATTCTACCAAACTATTTATACATATATTTTTTGCTTATTCAATCTATCACCAAATTTGAGTTCACAATGCATTTAATACGTTAGTAAGTACTCTATATTTTAATATCTATAATAAGCTTACCTTAATGAGTAAAGCATCATTTCTTGACAGATTTTGTTGGAGCAGTACTTGATATATATTGAGAAATGATTTAATGCATAGTTGTGCAAAATATCACAGATGTTGGGTACAAGAAGACTTTTACTCAACCTTGCTTCCAACTCGGCCAGCAATCTAAACAATACAAAAGAAGTTGGCACAATAGACTTGTAGTCAAGAAATCAAACTAACTTAACTCATAACTCAATAAAGTGACTAAAAAATAGAGAAGTAACACATACAACATGACTACAACAAAGAAATAACCTCCCCTATTTGACTGCTTAGGAAATACAGGCAGCAAAAAACACAAAAAAGTTTCAAACATATTAAATGTACTCAGAAAATATCCAAGTAGTAATTACAGATGCATTTTTTTTTATATATACAAATATCAGATGCACAGCTATTTTTTAATTCTTATAAAACTTAAATAAAACCTAAAAAGTTTTATTTTTAATAATTTTATACTGCAAACGTAAGCAAAAATAAAATCACCAAAACTAACACTCAGCACCAGTCAATGTTATAGCAAATAAGTTAACATTTTCTTAAATCAAAAATGTATTTCCAATAATACTAACCTCCTCTCACACTACAAATACTACTCGTGACACTCTCTACCTACATCAACGCACCCTCTATTCTGGTACTGTATATAAGCACCTCATTCAGATAATATTATTACTTTTTCGAGACTGACTCAATCCACAGTCTCTAACACCGGCTCTTAGTGGGAAGGAAGGGTGGGAGAGTGTAAGCGGAGGTAAGTATTATTGGAAATAAATTTTCAATTTAACAAAATGTTAACTTCCAAAACATACTTACCTCTATTCACACTACAGCTAGAATCTCACATTCAGAAGGTGGAGGGGCTGATGAGGACATAGTCCATACAGAATGTGTCTGCATAGATCATGGGTGTGTCAATAGAAGATTAGCGCCCTAGTGTGGAAATCGCTCTACATCTAGAACAGGTATGCTCTTCATCCAGAACCTAATTCTTGCACTGCAGGTGGAATTTGACATGATCTTTCATCACTACTGACCAGGCTCAAACCAGGTAATCAAGGTTACACTGCTTGGGATTGGAATTATAGGGCCATGGTCCCTAAATCCCATGTTGGTGGATAGGGCATTTGGACCGCAATATATATATATAGTTGTGAGTGGATCCCAACCTGTAGCTATAGAGTGATGCATACCAAGCCACCAGAACCATGACAAAAAAGTAAGCAACATCGAAGTGGACAAACCCTCTCCTCAACCTGAAGAAGTCTAAAAACCAACACTCCAAACTCGGAATGACAGGATACCGTATGCCATACTCAACCTGAGGAAAGAGAACTCATCCGGGTCTGGAATTATGAACACTCATCCTTACTCCCCAACTGTGGGGGCAAGGTAAATTCAACTTGTCCCCAGAATTATAAAGAGTACATGGAGCAAACTGTGCTCAACTAAGCACCCAGGATGGGACCGCTGTGCATTCAGAATTACAAGGAGAAAATGGACCCTCTTCTGTGAACAATGTACAGAACTGATATTGATCAAAAAGAAGGGTCACGCTCAATCAAACCAGATAGCCGAGCATCAAACCTGAACTTGTATTACCAGTAGGCTCCCATGTAGGCTGGTGCCTCTCCTACTAGCATCTGGGAAAAAAAACATCCAGGGTCCTGGGTAAGAGGGCCCCCAACTTTGCCCTCTTCTTGAAGAGTGTAGGAAAGTTACTCAAACACTATGGTGGAATAACCTCTGTCCACCACCCCAGCGACTGGAAACCAGGCATGGTAAGGACTCCTTAGCTCCACTAGTTGGAAATGAGGGGGATAATGCGCATTGGGGAGCCCCGAAGAACAGTGCTCTGGAAACAGTGCAATAGGGAAAACAAGTTCCATAAATTTTTAAAAGTAAACCGACCCTGATTTATTCAATCCAATGATCGGCATGGACGAGCAGGATCGCCTTATGTTTTACTCATGATATTCCATGAGTGGTAGTCAAGCTTAGTAAAGTAATACCACCTAGCCTGCCTCTAGGTGGTCTTATGGAACACCCCATTTCTACAGAGCCTGTTGCAACCTAGATAAAGTATACTGTGTTTGTGGTTGCTAGTGTGGAACTGGCTTGATAACAGCACACCTAACTGGGCAACACTCAGCACAAAGTGGGATCCTGTGAAAAAGAGGTAGGAGAACCTGGAAAGGAAAAAAGAGAAGAAATTAGTAATAAAAATACTCACCCCTCTTTATAATCCAGTGGATGTAGTTAATATAGCTATAGGGGGTAGTCGAAAACCCTCACAGGAAGATACTGCCAGATCATGCAAAAAAAGTGAGATAAACGTATTGGGGGATGTCCACATACCTACCAGTCCTAGTAATGTCCTCCAATGGGCAATTCAACCAGGCCTCTAAGAACATAGAAATTTGACCAATCTGAAGTTAATATAGCTATAGGGGGTAGTTGAAAACCCTCACAGGAAGATACTGCCAGATCATGCTAAAAAAGTGAGATAAACATATTGGGTGAGGTCCACATACCTACCAACCTGTGTAATATCCTCCAACGGGCAATTCAACCAGGCCACTAAGAACATAGAAATTTGACCAATCTGAAGAGGTATGACTCACAGAATAAGTGAGATCTGAATAAGTGATATGGATCAATTTTTGTACCCACTTCGACAAAGTAACTGGGGATAAATTCCTGGAAACTGAAGGAGCCCAATGAATAAAAAGTCGTTGTCTAGCTCCTTTAAAGCATTAGTGCATGCAACATAACACTTCAAGGTCTTCACTGGACATAACAAATGATCAGGATCCAATTGGCCATTGTGGTGAGAAATAACTGTCAGATGAATTGGTGAAAAGGAGTTATCCCCTTCCCTGGCTGCCAGTGTCTTAGGTAAGAAGGACCAGTCTGGGTAAAGGAGGACATAGGAAGAATGATAGAGCATTTTGTGCACATGCAACCCAAAAATCTCAGACCGGTAATATCTGCAGGTCAGCAGCAACAAAAAATAAACCTTAAGGGAAAGGTGATGCATGATATGTGAGGCTAAGGGCTCAAACTGATGTTGAGAAAAAGCATGTAATACCACCTTAATATCCCAGTCAGGTAACTGAAACAGTCGTTTGGGACAAAGGACCTGAAACGACTTGAACAGGCCGGAGAGCACTGGGAACTCAAATAATTTGTCTCGAGTACCTACAGGAAATTGATAAGACCACCTTATACAAGTCAATTGTGGAAGAAGCAAAACCCTTGTCAAAGAACCAGGTCAAAAAACAAGTTATAGTTTGCATTTCTAGTCGAAGTGGGTTCAACCTCCTCTCAATACACCATTACTGATATGTGTGCCATTTCCATTGATAAATGTCCATCATGGGACAACATAAAGAATAAGACAGATACATGGCAACCTTAGAAGTTAAACCCCAAGGCTGTATGAAGGACCACGTAACCTCTGTGCATCAAGCTTGAGCTTCAGGATGGCTGGGTGTACGATGTTGGATCCTGTTTGCCTCAACAGAGATGACCAAAGAGAAAGTGGAAGAGATGGGCAATCCTGAAAATACCACAGAAGTGGAAATCAGGGTTGAGCCAGTCAATCTGGTGCTACCAAAAGAACCCGACAAGGGGTTGAACAAATCATTGCTAGTACTCTGGGTAACATATAAGTCAGTGGGAGGCATAGAGGTGCAATCTCGTCCAGTCCTGACTGAAAAAAATCTATTGCCAATGCCTTAGGGTGAGGTACCATAGACTAGAATACCAGTTGTTGAGTGTTCCAATGAGTGGTAAATGTATCAATCATCAGCATCCCAACCAAGAGCAAATCCAATGGAAAAACCTTGCAATGCAGCATCCATGCTGGCAGGAAAATCCAGTTGGGTCAATACAACTGATCTGCCACCAAATTCATCACCCCAGGAACATGGCAAGCTAGTAGGATGATATGATGGGAGTAGGTCCAATAAAGATGAATTAAGGTTTGGAAACAAATATACCTGGACTGAGTGCCCATGTGATTAGAAATGTAAGACTCCACCATGGAACTGGCGAAGTGAAGCATGGTGATTTTTTTGCCTAGATAAGCCCAGACCTTGAGACATTGCCCTGGAATTCCTGCCCATTGAGATGTATACCCCCATCCCTGAACCAAGACATCCACAAAGAGATGGATTTCTGGAAAAGGTGCAGCAGAAGAACACCTATCATAATATTATTCTGATATAACTACTACTCAAGCTTGAAAATGTTGATCCTGAATAAGGAGACTGGGGAATCTATTGGATCACTGTTCGTGATCCATTTGTCATGTAGAGACACTGAAGGGGTCTCTTGTGTACTTGTCCCAAAGGAATGAGGGATTCTAGTGATGCCCACATCCACAAAAGAGAAAGAACCATCCATGCAGGGGGAGAAAGAGTTGAACTGCCTGTTACATAGCTTGGAGCTGGATGGGAGTCAGCTAAGCCAGACTGAGATACATGTTGAAAAAGATACCCAGACTGATGATATATTGTGTTGGAGTGAGAAAAGATTTCTCAGCTCAGATAATGAAACCTGTTTTAGTTGCTTCTGAAAGTAGCATCTAGGTGTGATATTCTGCCAACTGACGAGATGGTGCTAGTAGTAACCAGTCATCCATGGAATGGTGTGTGCAGAGCCCTAGAGAAAAGAGGTCACAAAAAAAACGTGTACAACTTGGTAGAACACATATGGTGCCGATGCTAGTACAAAGGGCAGAGCCTTGAACTGCAGTACCTGACCCTTGTGCACTAAATGAAGGTAGTGGCATGATGCTGCTGCTATGGAAACGTGCAAGGTCATTCTTGGTCATCTCCATAATCCTAATAAAAAAATTCCAATGCAGAATGAGGAATGACTCCATTGCAAATCTCAGAGGATCTAGGAATTGATACAGACAAAACAAATCAATGACTGGATGCCAATCTCCTGTCTTTTTGGGCACAACAAGCAGACAGGAATAAAACCCTAGAAAAAGTAGCATGACTCTCTCCATTGCCCCTTAGACCAACAAAACCCCGACAGCCCTAGAACGAAGTTCTGAAATCCAAGTATTTGCTGGAGGCAGAAACACAACAGGTTGGGTGGATAACAGTGGTGAAGATGTAAACTGAATGGCTAATCCTGATGCAAGAACCTGTAGTACCCATGGATCCATGGTAAAGATTTTCCACTCGTCCAGAAATTCTCGGAGCCAAGCCCCCACAAACCCCAAAGGCATACAGTAGTCACCGCTAATGTTGGCAGTGTTCCGGCCCAAGTGGAGGAACCTTATGGGTGGAATCTATTTTGGGTACCATTGGACCAGGGGGCTGATGTCATAGGTCGGGACACTTGAATGGGATGGAACTATGACCCCCGTAGGAGCTGAGGAAAGTTCAGAAGGCAACAACAACAAGGATGAATGTAGACAGACAACATCAATCCTTGATTCCAAAGACTCTGGAATGTCCACAAAAATCAAGGGTCAGAGAAAGGGGTCCTCACGTAACTCATGGAGGATGGCAGTTGGTAGACGAATACCCTCCAGCAACACATCTCTACCCAACAACATACCAGCCAATAGACTAGGGAAAGTGCAGTAGCCGACAAACTAACCAAAGTCGATGCTAACAATGGTCCCAACTTGTCAACAAATTGATGTGGTGATCACCAAGAGGGATGATAAATATCTTAGCACCATAGTTAGGGTAAGATGAATCCTAGTAATTGTGATCTATTCAGGTTGACCACAGACTCCATCCTGAAACCTCACATTTTGAGGAGCAGGACTATCCTTTGAGAGTCTAAATACGCATCCACCTGGCAGTGGTAGGTTAAAGCATATTGTTCTGACAAACATGGAGGACAAAGCATAGCTGTCTCTTCATATAACTGAGCAGAAAACCTCCCTGCATGAACTACAATATTAGAGGTTAGAGGTAGAACTAAGTACTCGCTCTTAGACTTTTCCGTCATCAAGGAATGTGCAAGCTCAAACGCAACTGGAGAAAGACCCAAAACATCAAACACTCAATTTACCAACTGAAGAAAATAAGATGGAGGCAGTTGATCCAAATTGGCCTCGTGACAAACCAACAGAATAAAGAAAGGAGCTGTAAAAGGCAAACCTAAACTCTCTCCAGAATGTCCAGATTTGCCTGCAAGTGCAGCCTCAGAGCTCCTTGGAGACCGAAATATATGTCTCCATCTCACTATGAATAAGGTCACGAACAGCCTCAACTGTGAATGACTCACCACCCGACTGTTAAGCGATGCTATATATCAGATGTGGGATAGGAGAAACCTGATTTGCCTCCGTGCTGGAAACAGTAATCCAGGAATTCATGCTGTATATCGGATTGCCAAACAAAAAAAAAGATTTCTTAACATAAATTAATTAGGTAACACAAAGAACACTCAAAGTATCTCCAACAGTCATAGTACAGATAAACACATTAGTGAATGCTTTGTTGAGAAAAAGTGATAATATTATCTGAATGAGGTGCTTATATACAGTACCAGGATAGAGAATGTCATGAGATAGATATCGCCAAGAGCAATTAAGTGGGGGAATAAAAGACTGAAACAAACAAGACATAATCAGACCAATGATTAGATGAGCAAAGGAAGGAAACCCTAGCAGTCAAGTAACAGCTGCAGTGTGAGAGAAGGTAAGTATGTTTTGGAACAATGTTTTAACATAGAAGTGCACACAAAAAACAAATAATGATATTATAAATATACAATAAGGTATAAAATAGTATCCTAAACTTCAACACTTGTAAGAGTATAAAGTAAAAGGAAAGGAAGGTGTTCGAATAAACTGATTTTACCTTTGACTAACTATTCTGATGGGTAAGATGTCTGAAAATAGCGTTTCTATTTCCATTTGTTCCAGAATACAGTCGGCCGAGGACTGGTTTGTGAGCTCTGGACAATTAATAAAATGTTCCACAAGGATATCTAAGCTTCTGAGATAAGAAGCTTCTGAAGTGATGATTTCAAACAATGCTTCTTGTTGTTGAATCTGCTGTGATGTCATTGTCTCAAGAAGACCACTGTTCCTGACCTTTTTTATAACAATAGAACTTCAACTTCTGAAATGCTCAAGCTTTATATGAATAACAGCACTGGAAATTAAAAATATGAAACACTATAACCCAAACACTATTGAAAGATGGACTTTTCTTCATCAGGGGGCAAGCTGTTTGGCTCTCATGAAGAAAGGTCCACCTTTCAAAAGCACGTAAGTTATCGGGTTTTATATCTTTAATTTTAATGGATGTTTTGAGCCTATGTGTTTTCCTAACATCGTGAATGAACATTGCAAATTGATATGAATAAAAAAAAAGTTTAGATAATTTCTATACAACTGTTCTTTAATACATTTAAAACTACCGGGTAAAAAAGGTGTTTTATGGGTACCAACAGTTGATTCATCTACAACTGTTCATTAATACAGTTAAAACTACCGAGTAAAAAAGGTGTTTTATGGGTACCAACAGTTGATTCATCTACAACTGTTCTTTAATACAGTTAAAACTACCAGGTAAACAGGTGTTTTATGGGTACCAACAGTTGATTCATCTACAATTGTTCATTAATACCAGTTAAAACTACCGGGTAAACAGGTGTTTTATGGGCACCAACAGTTGATTCATCTACAACTGTTCTTTAATACAGTTAAAACTACCGGGTAAAAAAGGTGTTTTATGGGCACCAACAGTTGATTCATCTACAACTGTTCATTAATACAATTAAAACTACAGAGTAAACAATTTTTTATGGGTACCAACAGTTGATTCATCTACAACTGTTCATTAATACAGTTAAAACTACCAGGTAAACAGGTGTTTTATGGGTACCAACAGTTGATTCATCTACAACTGTTCATTAATACAGTTAAAACTACCGGGTAAACAGGTGTTTTATGGGTACCAACAGTTGATTCATCTACAACTGTTCACTTAATACAATTAAAACTACAGGGTAAACAATTTTTTATGGGTACCAACAGTTGATTCATCTCAACATTTCAGATAACTTCAATTTCCTGTCTTCAGTCAATGGGCAGAGGTTTCCGTTCAATCCAGATTTGTTCTGTCACACACACACAAGAATACAAGAAATAAGCTTATTATAATAACCCTCACATATTAAAACATCTAAAATACAATATGTGAAAGTTAACGAACCTCAGGAATATCTTCCCACAAAGTCCTTTTACCCTCCAATGACATCTGTTTTAGGCAAATTTTGGGTTGTGGAGGAGACCCACAAGAGTTCAAGTCTGACATCTTAGTGTTTGGTGTGAGGCTGCAAAGATTACTGTATATGTTCTATCAAAAAAAAAACTTTTGTTACTTTTACAACAAAACTTCTGCTTATTTCACCAATTATTAAAACATTACAACAAAAACAGCATAAAGCAACAAGCCTCTGCTTTCTTGACCTTTCATTCCATTTGTCATTGTAAAAGTTACAGAAGTTAAAACAATAATTTTTTTAAACAAGATTAACATGGCTGATATGAAATGTCTAAAATGGGTATTATATATTAGAACTGTTCCTAGGCAAGTTTAATGTCAATCAGAAACACACTTAAAACAATTCTAGGACTTTTTTATAAATATAAACTCTTAATAAACTATTTAATATCAGTAAGAAATTTTCATACAATCAATCAGAGACAAATAAATCACCCAGAATGTCATATTAGGTTTAGAAAAAAGCTACAAATGCCTAAAAACAAGTTGATTTTAACTGACGGCCCCAACGATTGATTACAATAAATTAATTGATTAATACAATATTCCTACAACAATGATACATACAAGTAAAACAAAACAACAAACAAAAATGGTTGGTGATAGGTGCTGCTAGCCAGTTGCCTTCTCCCTAGTCAGCAGTTAAACATTAGTGACAGCTTCAGCAGCTTTACCATAGTAAACAAAAAGTGAATAAATTTGGTGACAGTATTTTGATTACTTGAATAGTTAAAATAGTCTAAAATCCTAATTTTGTTTGGTCTGTCAGGGTTTTGAATATGGACTGGGATTCTTTACAGTACGTGTTTGTTACTTGTTAGCGATAAATTTGAACAATAAATGCACAACAAAAAATCCACTTGTTTTTAAAAAATATATTTTTAACAAATTAAACATATGTACAAAACGTATTTACACTACAGGATATCATTGTATAATTCGAAATTCTAAATAATTCTCTTTTCTTGTCAAAAATCCACACAGGCTGGTTCAGTTACTGTAGAACCCAATTGACACAATGAATTATTTTTCTCTGCTCTGTTTCTTACTGCACAATCTGCGATAGATTCTCTTACATTGCTCCCATGGGTTAATATCCAGAACCTTAAATAATTGTCTCCTTTTCGTCAAAGTCCATACAAGCAGGTTCAGTTACTTTATAACACCCTTTGACAAGACAAATTATTCTCCTTATCTCTGTTAAACTGTGAAACTCACTTTAAAATAGTGCCCGTTATGGCTAAACTAACAATCACGCAGTCTAACTTTTATTTCAATAACTTAACTTCTTTGTTACCACAGTTGTATCCAGAGCTTTAAATAATTGTCTCTTTTTTTTTCATCAAAAGTCCACACAGGCTGGTTTAGTTACTTTAGAACCCAATTGACAAGATAAATTATTCTTCCTATTTCTGTTGTTACAATATAGCTGTGAAACACACTATAGAAATCCACTCAAATGCTGGCTAGCTTCACGTTTTCTTTCACTAACTAACTTTTTTCTAACTAAACTTCACTTGCACTCACTTGGTTGCCTATACATTTTGCAACTGAGGCCTAGAACTTTCAACAAATACGAGATTTATGATGTAATAATACTCACTCAAGGCAACAAAAAACACAGAAGGTTTGAGTAACGTGACATCAATTCACAACAACTGAACTACGCACACAACTACGACTCTTACATAACGAACTATGTCATAACTATCACCTTTAAAATAATTACTTTTAACACTCTTGTTATAAAAACTAAATAATAATTAAATGTTAAATCACTAAATGAAATAAATAATAACTCATACATTACAACAGTCATTTTCATAATCACTTTTCAAGGAAATTATTAGTAAAAAAACTTTAAGTTAATCTCCTTTCAACTATAAAATGCTCATAACTATGACGTTAGAATACGATCCCAAATGGTTTTAACTTTTAACCTCTCATTATGTCTGATAGACGGAATATCCCCAATGCTTTTGGGAGCTATAACAGCCGACATTTTCACTTAAAAATGATACCTTTTGTACAAATGAAATAACTTTACATTGTTATATTAGAACTTTGTTAGTGGATTCACTTGCTTGTTGGCACATACATCTACATGTACAATAAATAAATTGTAGGTTATATTATATATATATATTTGGACAGCTTTTTCGTACATTGCTATTTAGAAAAAATACTTCTTATAAGATTAGCACAAGTGTCTGGTACAACATTTTGGACTCCCAAAGAACTTAAGTATTCAGCCAAACTGTAGCTTCCCATGCGAAACACAGAACAAAGCAGAAAGGTCAACTTGCCATATAAACTATGGTAGCTTTTCAAAAGCAGAAAGTTCCATTGCACTAACCAAAGTATTTAACTGCTTCCTCACTTTGAAACCATTATCATCCATCACACCATCTTCTAAGCTCTTAGGATCAGTAGCAGCAAAAGATGCAGATGAATCACATGTGTTATTCATAAGTATACCACTTTGTCTTGAATCAGATAACTTAGAGTTATCTATTGAGAACCTGTAGAAAAAAAAATCACAATTTTGCTTGTATTAATGTATTCAGAGATAGATAGCACTTACAGGACAGATAACTGGTATTATTGTAATGTTGTTCATTGATTGGGTAGTTCTTTCAAATTATTCATTAATACTAAATCCAAGCCCAGTCTACGTAATGATAACAAAGTAGTTTACTTCATCCTTAACCTACAATCTACCATCACTTGTACACAGATGTACTTGTAGGCCTAAGTTCACAAATAATGTTTTTACTTTCAGCTGGGATTTTCTTACTAATGACACAATGACTAATTTACAAATACACATACTTGTGCAAGTTCAAGGCTAATCAATCTTCCATCACTTGTACACAGATGTACTTGTAGGCCTAAGTTCACAAATAATCTTTTTTTTTACTTGCAACTCACATTTTCTCACTAATGGCACTATGACTAACTTACAAATAAACTTATTTGTGCAATTTCAAGGCTAATCAATCGAGAGACTGAATATATGTGACAACTAGCAATTATCCAAATATTTCACTGAAACTAAGTATTATATGAAGGACTGGTACTCTACCAACTGAAAACTGACTGACTCACTACTAACTGCTTACTTGTATTAATAAATAATGTACCTATCTAGATCTTAGTCAAATTTACTAGATCATAACCTCATAGCCTTCTAGCTAACATTAAAATATTGAAAACAAAACTTGCAACAATTATCAACAGAGGTTTTGCTTGTGACATCACAAAACTTACAGTTTGATTCAATGCTACCGTGTAGGATCTCAAACATTCCCTCCTTGCAATCAACAGCATCTCACATCAATACAAGATTCGGTAAAGTGTGCCATTCTGTCAATGACATTATAAATCTTTCTTCATGACACTGATCTGAAACTCTACTGCTACTCAGTATCTTGATAAAGCTTTCTTTATGACACTCTTTAGCAAGATACTAAGTAGCAGTAGAGTTTCAGATTAGTGTCATAAAGAAAGCTTTATCAAGATACTAAGTAGCAGTAGAGTTTCAGATCAGTGTCATAAAGAAAGCTTTATCAAGATACTAAGTAGCAGTAGAGTTTCAGATTGTCAGCTGTAAGTCATCTAAGTGATGGGATAAAGAAAGCTTTATCAAGATACTGAGTAGCAGTAGAGTTTCAGATCAGCTCAGATAACATGGCATAAAAAAGACAAGTTTGTCATTTTTCACCCATAATTTATGTAAATGCTTGACATCCAATATCATGGTGTAAAGTACAGATCACACTAAATTTTGACACCAGTTTAAAACCTCTATATCAACTCTTGAAATGGATGCAAAGAATCACTACAAGTATGAATTCTATTTCTTGAATATTACTGATGTAAGAAATTAATGTGATATTTGTTGCAGAGTGCTTGAAACGTGTACACAATGTACTTTTAACATTGGTTTTACAGGAGCATTTGTACAGATCTTGTTATTATAAGTAAAATCCATTATGATTTTCAAGTTTTAATTAAAAGTTGGAAATGTCATTATGGGTTACATAAATAAAAGGCAAAATATTCATCCTGAGAAAACAATATTACTACTATTTTACTTTTTTACTTTTAGTTTAAAAGTTCTTTACTGCAATAATAACCAAAACCTTAATCTCTGATAATCTTGGTGAAGTTGTTAAAAATGTCTTCTTTCCCAAGTACACTTTTACAAACAATACCTTCATTGTAATATACACACAACCATAAAGAACAAGAAAGTTTGTAAAATAAAAATTATTTTCAATATAACTTTTCAATGAAATTATTAGTAAACAATTTTTTTGCAAAAACAACACCATTTTGTAAAAAAAATTTTGAAAAAAAAAAGATAATCCTCCTAGAAAAAAATGTGAAAAAAATGGAAGAAAAAGAAAACATTAAAATAAAAAAAAACTGATATACAGGATATCTCAAAGATAAGAAAACATTCACCAAAAATGAAAGATCAATTTGAATTACACTATAAATCGGTACTCTGAACTATGGCTCCTATAACAAAATTAATTTTGGTGGGAAATAAAACAAGTGGTGTGCCTGAAACGTGGAAAAAGAACAACAACATTTATTTAATAGAAATACCAGTTACATAGTTTCGGGTAATGGTTTGGAGAATGCTTCAGAAAAAAAAAACAATAACAAATAACTCAGAAATGTTCTTGAACTGCTGTTTCCATAACATAGTAAAGAAAATACTTTGTGAAACAGAAACAACACACTGGTAATGTGCTAAAATTGTTGTGTGTATAATAAGTTATTCACAATTTTTGAAATTTAGGAGTGTATACAAAATGTAAACTTTATGTGACCCTCACTTACCTCTGAAAGCATATAAAACGGGGAAGTTTTTTAAAGAAATATTACTGGACATTAGACATTATAAACAGGAAATTGAGAAACAGAAAAAATGTGTTGAAGTTTACAAATTCTGAGAAAGTTGCTACTGGTCAGTACTTTTGTAAGTTATTTACTGTCAGCTAATGACATTCTTTTGGCATTTATAATACTCCACCCCTCCCCAAAAATGGCAAAAAAGTATTTAATGACCTCTAACATAGCAAAGAAAAACTTTGAAAACAAAAACAAAATTCTGGTAACATACCTAAGGTATGGATTCCATTCTATGGATGACATGACAGACTCTAAGAGGGATTCTGATTCCATACATGACTTCACTGTAGAGTTTTCAGCTCTTGAATACGGCTTTTGGATTTGAGATTGTCCTATACCATACAAAATTAACAATTAGGAGTAAATATTCTGTAATTGTACAACACACAAATGAAAGATAATATAATAAAAAGACTAGCAGAAAAGGCACACAGTGTGCTAACTGTTTTATCCTAATGGGGCTATATGTCCAAAAATGGCATCTTAACATTTTCAATGGGTTTTTACTTCCATGTTCCTGTAAAGCAAATCAAAACTCAATGAAAACAAATGGATGTAGTTTTTAAATGTTTCGATTTTCTACTTTATCACATGAACTTCCACTATTCTAGAACTTTCTCCAGTAATAATTTATTTTGACATCTCCTCTTGGAAAGAAGATGAAGCAGGATAATAGAAACACTCCACATCTATTCTGCACAGAGTCATTACATGTATCATGTCACTTTGCATAACAAAAATATTTCTATAAGCAAATTAAAACTAAGCTTCTCAGTGGACCGTTAACAATCTGTGCATACCTGGGTTTCTCACCACACACACAGCGTGTGTGTATTGCAACAATGGGAAGTCAAGAAGGCCTATTACATTTGTTATTCAATGATATCTTTATCATAAAACCAAGAACTTTTCACAGGACACTAGGACAAACTACCAAATCGCAAGAATGTCCCGGCAAAACCAAGATGTCTGGTCACCTTATACATCACTAAAGACAGATCTCCAAAGAAGTACAATAAATAAATTATACAGGTTAACCATTCAAGTAACTGAAGCTATAAAAAAATTGTTTGATAATAATGATGTTTGTTAATGGCACTAACCTAACAGTTTCTTTTCAGTTACTGTATTATCTCATGTATAAAAATGGTGCACTGTGAAGCTGTCTTTTAATTCATTATTCATTGCCACCTATTCAGGATAAATTAGCTAAATTTTATGAATTTATCCAAATTAAAGAGTGTTTAGTGTCACGTGATATTAGCTTAAGCAATTAATGTAAATAATGATGCTTGATACGGCTGTACCTAGTGCATGCAGGTGATGACAAGAAACTGCTAATCTAAATTCCATGGTGTTACTATAAAGGAAGTTATTAACACTGTTTTAGAGGAAAAACTACCACCATATATTTCAAAGAATCTGGTTGGTCTGTATCGGTCTGTTCCGAATAACAAGGACGCAATCCAAAAGCTAAAGTTGGATACTATATACATTGAGTGTCACTTTCTTACTTGCTGTGGTTTGTTGCTGTGTATTGATAAAAAGTCATGATATCTAATCAAAAACACCTTAGGTATGAAAAACGATGCAACCAAAAAAGGATTGAGCATGCGACTTAAAGGAATGAAATCAAAAATGGTGGCCAGACTGGTAGCTATTCTTGTATTGATCAGAATTTTACCGCAAATATTCATTCATTAGTTAGCTAGATCGCATATTTTGTTTTACCCACCATCATGCCCCAAGTTGAACAAAAAATTCTGATCAATACAAGAGTAGC